TAAATAAATAAATAAATAAATAAATGTTTATCATTAAAAAAAAAATAAAAACCTTCTGCACAAGAAAGGGAAAAACCAACAGAGTAAAGAAACAACCTACAGAATGGGAGAAAATATTTGCAAACTACTCATCTGACAATATCCAGAATATATAAGAAACTCAAACAATTCAATAGCAAAAAAGAACCCAATTAAAAAGTGGGCAAGAGAACTGAATAGATATTTCTCAAAAGAAGACATACAAATGGCCAACAGGTATCTGCTCAACATCACTAATCATTAGGGAAATGCAAAACTTTTGAGGTATCATCTCACCCCAGTTAGAATGGTTATTATCAAAAAGAAAACAACAAATGCTGGTGAGGATGTGGAAAAAGAGGAACCCTTATACACTGAGATTGTTGGGACTGTAAACTAACACAGCCATTATAGAAAACAGTATGAAGGTTTCCCAAACAACTACAGATAGAACTACCATATGACCCAGCAATCCAACTACTGCATATATACGCAAAGAAATAGAAAGTATCATGACAAAAGGATACCTATACTCCTATGATTATTGCAGCTCTGTTCACAATAGCCAAGATATGGAACCAACCTAAATGTCCAACAGATGATTGGATAAAGAAAATACAAATACACAATGTAATACTACTCAGCCACAAAAAGAATGAAATTCTGGTCTTTGCAGCAACATGCATGAAGTTGAAAAAAATTAAGTGAAATAAGCCAGGCACAGAAAAAAATACCACGTTCTCACTCATGTGGCAGCTAAAAAAGAGAACAACAAAATAATAATAATGGTAAGTTGAACTGTTAAAAGGAGAGAGAAAAACTGTGCTTACTAAAGGTAGGAGCAGGGAGAGAAGAGGGGAGAAGGTGAGAGGTTGGTTAATAGACAGAAAATTACATCTAGATAGGGAAAATAAGAATTTTGGTGTTCAGTTGACCTGGGAATCTATAATTAACAATGACTTACTGCATGTTACCAAATGACTGTAAGAGAGATCAAATTTGCACACCACGAAAAAATGATTAAGTTTTGCAAGGATGAATATGCAAATTACCCTGAATAGATCACCATACATTGCATATATGTACTGAAATATAACTCCGTACCCCATAAATATGTACATTCAGTGTTTCAATAAAAAAATGTTTAAAATTAAAAAACATAGAACGGTTTCTTTTATTATGAAACTTAGTAATAATTTGGGCTGGCCAGTCAGCTCACTTGGTTAGAGCTTGGTGCTGCTGATAAAGACAAGGTGAAGGGGTTTGGATCCACCTAAAAAAAACCCATTAATAATAATTTAGTAATTTCTGCACTTTTCCTGATAATAAAAGGTGACAGCTAGTATTCAAAACTGGAAACCAGATAATCAGACAAAAATCACATTTATTTCAATAGCTCCAAGTGCAAATACAGCAAGTCAGTTCACAAAGTTTCAAGATACAGCTTTAAGTATAATGAAAACTTGATATACAAAAATGAAAGGGTAAATAGCAGAAATAAAGCTCATTTTTAAAAAAATTCAAGTAACCTGAAAAACCTTTAGACTAAAATACTCCACTTATATCAATTCAGAAATGCCTTAATTTACAGATGTCAGTAGTGCATTTTAATCAAAAAGGACTCTTCAGAGAAAGAATCACCCCAAACTGGTCAGCTCCAGATGGGAGTAGAAGTTCTCAGTGTTGGCTGTTCCTAATTTTACAGCTTCAGTCACTTACTCTATCAAATCATGTGGTGCAATCCATGATATTTTGATCTTCAGGCAAATTCTAAAGGATGTTTAAAGTTAAATATAAGACCAACACCACTATAAATAATTTTCTAAAATGACCAGTATATACAAGAATCTAAAAGACTTAAAGACCGATGTCAACTTCAGGCCTATGGTATTATTGAGAAAAGACATAGATTAATACTTCTTCCATTACTTAAAACCATTTTGTAAGGTTAGCAACATGGCCTTTAAAACTTCCTCATTAAAACTGTACTGAAATATATATTTATTTCTACATATACAGAACTTGTATGTAAAGTAGAAAAATTTCCCACCAGGAAGATAATTAAAGGTTATTAATGTACTTTTATCACTTAGCAGCCAACACTCATGTTTATTTCTCCTCCCCAGATGCAATGTTAGCTACTAGTTTCAATTCAGGAAAATGAGCGTCTTCAAGAAGATTCACGTGAAATATTTATTCAGTCTTTTTCCCAAACTTCTTCATCTTTTCATTGTAGGCATTAAACTGAGAGTCTGTTCCAAAAATTCTATCCCACCATGTAAATGTTGAAGCATAGTTTCCGATGAAGTTCATGTGGTGGAAATCATGATGCCGAGAACCAGCATAGAAAGGGATGAGATTTAAAGGGTTGAGAGGAATATCATAACCACTGAAATAAAAATGATAAAAATTATTAAGAAAATAAATACATCTCAAATAACTGACATTTTCTTTAATAGTCTTTTGCTCATTAACTTATTCAAATAACATTCTACTTTGTCTAAATCATTTTATTTCTGAGATGTTTACAAAAGGCAGAAACTTACAGAAAAGAGTGCATATTCTAGAAACCACTTTTAAGAAATAAAAAAACTTAAAAGATCTAGGGAAATTATACATTATACATGAGGGGATAAATGAATCTTTAAACACAGATTTTAAAGAACTATTATTTTTTCTTTTAGAGGAGGTTTCTCATCATAGTCTTTAACAGTTATAAATAAAGTTCATAATACTAAATATGTCTTTTAGGAAAAGCTATGTGAATTAGTTTCAAGCATTAAAAAGGTCAGGTATCACTGTGTAGCAACTTCTTTCACTTTTTTTACAAGTTGTAATTAAATGTACCATGATTAATTAAAATACCAGTGCGCTTTTCTACAGTTGGGAGAAAATAAATGATTTCAAAAAGAGTCCCATTTAGAGTATCCGCCTTTATTTCTAACTACATATCTAAAATCAGATATCCACAGTCATACCGTCTAAATCACCCCAAGCCCACCCTCCCTTTGAGGGGCTGACAGGGAAGGAGGAAAGGAGAAAGGAAAAGAAGGAAAGAAAAAATGAAATGGATATCAGTTACAATTTTGCTACAGAAGAGTATTCTCTGACTAAAACTAAAAGCATTGATTCTGTTACTTTAGTGGTTTAAAAATACTTAAAATTTGATAGACTGCATTCATGATTATAGTAATAAGTCCCAAGTTAAAATGCAATGAACATATAATAATTTTAACAAAATGAAAAATTAGCATAGTAAGCATTTTAAAAGGCATTCAATGTAAGTAATTTAGCACAAATGTCTTCCAATCAGCAGAAAGGAAGCATATGAAATACGTACAAAAAGTATTTTCACCTTGTAAATGCTTTTATCAGTTAGACGGTAGAGACAAGAAATAGTCTTATTTAGTGAAGGTTGAATTTTTCCAAATAAGCATTAGATTTAGGTTTATTACAGAAGGATAAAGAAATTGCTGATCCTGAATATTTATTTTATTTGCCCAAATAACTCATTATCACTACAAAATGATAACAGTATAGATCAGGACGTAAAAGCATCTCTAATATACAAATTTTTATCTAATGATTATGTTCTCCTGTTTTCTTAAAAATAATATTAAGAACACTAACTTCCATCAGTCTACTCAGAAGTAATCTTATGATCATGAAAATAAGGATATTTTATGATACCTTATACCTGAACGTAAAGCATAACTCACCTATGAACATCAATAGTTTCTATCAAACGAACAGTCACCCATGCCCAAAGAAGAATTACATGATCACACAAAAGCACAATTCCAATGAAAAATCCAGTTCCAAGAATTAGGGTTTCCAAAGGATGTGCATATTCAGCTTCCATTCCAAATGGAGCCTAAAACAAATAGGCAAGAATTCCTTAATATATTGTGATAGTTAATTTTACGTGTCAACTTTGTTGCGCTATGGTGCCCAATTATTTGGTCAAACACAAGTCTAGATGTTGCTGTGAAGGTATTTTTTAGATGTGGTTAATATTTAAAACAGTAGAATTTAAGTAGACTACCCTTCATAATGAAGGTGGGCTTCATTCAATCAGTTGAAAGCCTTAAGAGCAAAGACTGAGAAGAAGGAATTCTCAAGACTGCAACACGGAAACTGTCTGAGTTTCCAGCCAGCTGTTCTGCAGAATTTGGACCCAAGACTGCAACATTAACTCTTCAGAATTTCCAGCCTTATCCTGACCTACAGATTTCAGACTTACCAACCCCAACAATCACATGAGCCACTTCCTTAAAAATCTCTCTCGCCCCGTGTATAAATATCCTATTGATTCTGCTCCTTTAAAGAGGCCCAACTAAAATATATATTTTATTTGTGAATATAGTTTTATAAAATTATATTATTTCCATATGTAATAATAATATACCTACCCATACATATATAAATAATAGTAGTAATTCTGAATAAAAATATCTTTTTGTTCCTATCAAACATCAAAAGGTCTAGGGACATAAAGTCTTAATAACTGTCTTTGATGGTTTAAGATAAAGGCATTAAACAACTGACGTGAATTCTAATTTTGATTTATTTATGTGTATTTGTTCTGCCAAGAAAGGGATGCTTGATTTAGCATACCATGTAATTATGATCAATGCAGTTGTTTCCAAAGTTACATCAAAGCAGTTCTGATAAAAACCACTGTTTTTGTGGGAGTAAGCAACACAATAAAAATGTGTGAAAACTAAGTCAACAATTATTTTAGAAGTTTAAATATTAAAGGCTTATTGTGTTGGGGCCTCATTTAAATGTCCCTAACATTACTACAGTTGCTGTCAAACTACCAGGCATCTACCTATGTCAATATAGCATTCTGGCCGCAAGGATGAGAGTCTGAACTACTTCATGTAATATTTTTCTTTCAGGTCTCAACTTACTATTAAAGTTAGACACTGAAGAAAATTTGTAGAACGGGTTTTGTGTGTGGGTATGTGTGTGTTATGTTTTTAATAATTATGCCAAAGGAAAAGGAAATAAAAACATCACTGACAAGTTTTTTTTAAATGCTCAGGAAATAAAAATAAACATTTTATGTCTAATATAAAAAAAGTACTAAGTGTAATTCTAACATACCTGAAACTCATGATGAATTTTATGAATATATTTATATATCCTTTTGTGGTGTAAGAGTCTATGCAGGAAATAGTGCCAAGTATCCTCAATGACTGCACAACAAAAGCATCTTGCCAAAACCAAATACCTTTAAGATGAAAATACTATAATGAATATGACATAACTTTTACTTAAACAATCTAGACTTTTATTTGAGAGCACTGCCTGAGACACTATGTAAAACCAAATACACACTCACCAGTTCAACCTTATTGTATATACTGATGAACAAATTCTCAAAACTGGTTGATACAGCTATATGATATAACCGAAAGTAAGGTTAAAGAGACTGAACACTATACTAATTCTATTTCATTTTGACAAAAATCCACAGGTATAAAATCAGAGTTAAGAAACAAAATTCAAAACCACCAGAAAAAGAATAACATTGATGAAGGACTTGAACTAAAATCAGTAACACTAATATTGTCACTCTTTCCATCAGAGGACGTAATTTAAGTGCAATGGGCAAAAAATAATTTCTATACAAATGCACACATACACAGAAACTTTTATATGTTGCATATACATTATGTAATAAAAGGTATATATCTCTATATTGGTATATCTGTATTCAGTATGTCAGGAACAGATAGGTGAATTCAAGTATTATTTGAATGCAAACACACTCTGGATACACACACACACGTTTATATGAACACAATTTTTATAGACCTGAATCTCTTACATTTTTCACTTGTTTTAGACTTAAAATGTAATACGTTTTTTCTTAGTATAAGCACATATATCTGCACACAGTCATATAAAGGATGTTATGGACATTTCAGATGCTAGAAACTCCCCTTCCAATAAAATTTTAAAATACAGATGGCCCCCTATTTAAGGATGGTCCAACTTAAGATTTTTTGACTTTATAATGGTGCAAAAGCGATATGTACTCAGTTGAAATCAAACTACAAATTTTGAATTTTGATTTTTTATTATTTTTATTTTTCACTATTATAAAAATTTAATTTTGAGTATTATAAAATAGGCATTGTGTTACAAGCTATGATGTTTGGTAGATTAGGTGAATTAAATGCATTTTCAACTTATTATATTTTTAACTTAGGATGGTTTATCAGGATGTAACCCCATCATAAGTCGAAGTGCATCTGTATCAAAAGATAAAAATGAGAAGATTTTAAGTTTCTACAATGGTTTACTTTTTCCCTATTCGTTTACTTCCAAAGTGTAGAACAAACATTAACCAAATGAAGAAAGAAAATAAACATCAAGTATCAATTAATTGGATAATAAACCATGACTAAGTATAAAAATCAAATTTTTATCTACATACCATCTTGGCATTCTTTCCCAATCGTAAGGAATATTGAAATACTCTGTAAAATGATAGGTTCCAAAAATCAAAGGCAGCTGGATACAAAAGTGATTAAAGAGAATTACTTTAAAACATTTCCATTGGTTTTCCCATGTTTCTGGTTTTTCCTATGGAGAAAAATCACAATATTTAATATAATCTCTGCTATCAGTAGTTTAGCTTAACAACTCTAAGTAAATTACTAATTTTTTCTCTACTGTTTATATTAGACATTAATCCTATGTTAATTATGTTAATTTTATATTATAGTAACTAAGACTCAGGAATCACAACATCCTTGCCTTCTAAATTCTTGACATCTGCTATCATTACTTTAAATAGGTAAAGAAACTGTTAACAGATAAATCCAGCCAGAATGATCTCAAACCAAAGAGGTGCTACAGAATGAATAACTCTCCAGTCCTTGCTGCCCACAGACCACTGACTTCTTTTGCCAGAAGTTCCAGAGAAGAAGAAATGTGTGTTATGCTAAGATTACAGTTGGGGCCAACTGTTGAGGACGTTGTACACACAGCATCGGAAGACGTCATTACACAGATAAATTGATGCTTCCAGGCATTCGGCAGTATGCATTCCCAGAAGTAAGTGCATTTTTGTTCATATACAATGACAGAATCATATAAACTCTCTGAGCTGAGAACTTCAGAGATGTGTGCTGCTGATGAAGTTAGCAGATTCATGTCATAATAAGAAAAGTAAGATCAATGTAATGAGATGTTCATAAAACCTCATAAGGATACTAACTTGCTTAGCAAGCCATTATCAAAAAAACTAAATTTATTCAATTTAAAAGGCTGCAGTTAGATAAGAAAAAATGCTTTTGGTTTTACAAAAAGATGGTGATAATAAATATTCATTATTGTTTTGTTTTATATGACCTTACCTAAAAATTCAGAAATCTGTCAACGAAATTCTTTTAACTGAACTACAAATATCCAAAGTACGGGAACCGCTGCTCATTAGCAGAGGCTAAAAGAAGTCAACCACCTTGCCAAGGATCGCACAGGCAGTTATTAGCAGAATTTGGATTAAGTAAAATCTAGGTCTCTAGATTCAGTACTGTTCTTGAAATTCTTTAAGAATTATCTTCCTCACAAAAATAGGAAAACGCATTAAACTGAGAATCAATCCAGTGGCCTGGACTCTAATACCAGAGCTGTTACTAAGCAGTTAAATAGCTCTGTAATGCTCACAATTCAGTTTCCACAACAATAAAATAAGATTTGATAAAGTAATTTACAATTGTCTTTGTATTTCTACTTTGAGCATTATTGGACCCCACTCCTCCAAACCTCCTTTCTGTGACTGGGGACAAAATAAATTGAAGATTCAGGCCTGGGTTGGCAATGGCACAGTTTACCATAGAAACAATGTTTAACAGATTTTTAATTTCCTGGCTAGAATCTGATACTCATGTAGCTGTAGAAATTACAGTTTAATCAACTATAACTAATAAAACCATGTGCTATATTATTCAGAGTATGTATAAATTAGTAAAAAAGGCAATCAAAAATTCATGCCTAGTACAATATCAAAGTTTACCACGTTTTACTTTTTTATGCATAACTGCACCGCAATATAAAGAAATACCATTACTAGGGCCATAGACTTTAGAAATGTTTTTTGTACACATGCTTTTGAAAAAAGTTCTTGGAGAATTATTAACATATATGATTTTTTGTAATACACAGATCTTGCAAAGTCTACTTTATCTTTTCATTTCTGTAAAATCTCCCCTAACTAGCAAGCACGTGCATTAACTGTCAAGTTGTCTATTCTGTTTAAAAGCAGAAAGTCTTTAGTACTATTTCATTACCACCAGAAGCTATTTTTTTTTTCTTTTGCCAGTTTTAAAAATAAACAAGTTTAGGGCCGGCCTGGTGGCGCACTGGAGAGTGCGCCACTTGGGACTCCCACCGAGGGTTCGGATCCCATGTGGAGACCGGTTCCCGCTCTGGCTGAGCATGGTGCGGGCGCAACACCGAGGGTTGCGATCCTGTTGCCGGTCCCCGGTACGGGCGCGACACCAAGGGTTGTGATCCCGTTACCGGTCAGTAAAAAAAAAGACAAAAAGGAAAAATAAAAAAATAAATCAATAAACAAGTTTATTGTATGTGTTAAATAATATAATTCTCAAATATTTTATTTTAGAATTTCCAAAGTACTTAGCAATTGATACCCACAATTTCTTGTACCCTCAATATTATCAGGCTATCTGCCTTCAAAATGGAAAAACCTGTAATTAGTTTGTACTGATTTTTTTGGTTTCATTTAAAAATCCTTTATATTGTGAAAACTTGTACTGATTTGACATCATAATTTATTTTAGTACCAAAAAAGCTTAAAGCGTGGACTTTAGTAGTTGTGAAACTTAAAGGAAAACATGCTGAGTACAGACTTGAAACCATACTACCCAGTCTTTCAATTTGTTTATAAACAACTAGCTGTAACCAACTAGATCATTGGCTTATTCTTTCTCTTGCCACATTTTATTTTAAAGCTGCTCATACTCCCTTGACTGAAAAAGCTCTTCCTCTCTCTGGAAAGATTGCCACCTGACAGAGTTTGGACCTGTTGTCCCCCCAAAACTCATGTGGAAATCTGATCCCCAATGTGGCAGTGTTGGGATCCTTCATGAATGGATTAATGTTGGGGGGAAGGGATGAGTTCTCACTCTATTAGTTGCCTCAAGAGCTGGTTATTTAAAAGACCTGGCACCTCCCCGCCTCTCTCTTGCTTCCTCTCGCCATGTGATCTGCTTGTACCCACCGCCTGCCTGCCACTTTCCGCCATGAGTAGAAGCAGCCTGAGGCCTTCACTAGATGCAGCTATCCCAGAATTGTGAGCCAAATAAACCTCTTTTCTTCATAAATTACCTAGTCTCAGGTATTCTGTTATACCAACACAAAAATGGACTAATACACCACCTCTGACCAAATAAGTCAACTGCAGAGGTCAGTGAAGGAGGAAAAGGATGCTTTTGCCTGGCCAGCCATAAAACAAATCAGCTCTATAAATAAAGCAATGGGTGAAACACTTTTGTTCTTCCCTACCATGTACACTGACTAACCACCCAATGTATACTGAGTGAATGCAAATTATTACCCATAGATGAACGCTCAGAGTCTGAGGCTGTGTGCCCTTGAATTTTAGTTTGGCATGACATTTTAGAAAAGTAAATAGTAAGCATTAGAAACTATCATAGGTTTTTACCAAGTGCTACTAAATCATGTGTCTTTCTAATAAGGTAGTCAAGATTCTTCCTGAAAATTGTGTCAAGCCCATAGCCTAGCCTACATATTAGTAGAGTTCACGTTGTCCTGTATATAGCGGGCTCTCAAGAGACGTATGGTGCAATGAAGCAAATACCTGGAAATTAGGAACATCACCTCCTTATTTGGGATAATATAAATGGTGCTAAACTACCTACCACATTATTTTGGGGTAATAAAGCCCAATTTAACAAACTATTTTTGAAACACTATCAGTAATGATCTAGGACTATGGTGTTCAATACAGCAGCAACTAGGAACATGTGGCTACCGAACACTTTAAATAAGGCTAGTCTAAATTGACATAGGCTAAAATTAGAGTAAAATACATACTGGACTTCAAAGATCTATTATGAAAATAAGAATATAAAATACCATACTAAGCATTTTTTATTTTGATTACTCACTGAAATAATTTACATTTATGGAGTTAAATAAAACATATTAAAATTAACTTTTCCTATTTCTTTTTACCTTTTTTAATGTATTCTACTAGAAAATTTTAAATTATATATATGACTTCATTATATTTCTATTGGACAGTATTGATTTAGAATCTCTCAAAATTAAATTTATAAATATAATTCAGCAGCACTAATATAATAGTCCATTTCAAGTTTATCATACTCACCTTTTGAATTTTGTACTTTTTCATGAAAGGTATAAATTGAAATAAAAATCCAGGTAAACAGAACAAGAAATAAAGGACTTCATGAACTATAAGGGATCCCCATGTTGCAATCTGGAACTTTGTATAATTATTCAACATATAGTTCCAAGCATTTTTAAATGGTTCTTGCAGAGGATTCTCAGGTAAAAGTGAATCTACATACTCCACAGCCAAGGATGCTGAACTAAAGATGCTGGCACTTTCATTTGTTGCCATTTTCCAAATCTCTGCAGACAGCTTTATAATTCTGTAAAAATAAATAAATAAAAACTAAACAATAAAATTCTAAAAAAATGGTTTTAAAAATGCATCTTCCGATAACTTTTAAAATGACAATAACTAAAGGAATACCAGTTTCTCAGGTTCTAAACATGTGATTAAAAAAATCTACTAGATATCATCACCATCTCCATTTGTTCATGTAGCTTTAAAGACCACATGCCACTTTCAAAAGCAGTATCTAAAAGAACAACAGTGGAACAGAAATTTTGAGGTATCTTTAAAGAGATTTTCAGTGTGGCCTCCATGGAAAACCTTCTAATTTCAATGAGCAATAGTTGGATTTAAAAGTGCCACTTAAAACCAAAATAACCTATAAAGAAAACGTTTGTCGAACATAACTACATACAATAATACTTAAAAATTAAGTATTTCTGACTGGGGAATAAAAAAGACAATCATAAAGTTAAAGACCAAATGACAAACTGGAAAAGGTATTTCCAACACTCATGATAAAGAGCTACAAAGTGTGCTTTAGAAAAAGAGTAAAAACCCAATAGAAAACTAAAAAAGGCCATTCACAAGCAGTTCACAGAAAAAGAGGACAATGGTCACTAAACAAGTAAGAAGCTTAACTTCACTTAAATGAGGAAATGCACCCTAAAACAAAGAGATACTCTCTGTCTGAGTGGTAAATCTCTACAAGTTTAATAGTGCCCAGTACCCATACTGGCTAGGGTATGAGGAAAAGAAGCACTACCATACATTGCTGGGGGGTAGGGAGGGTGGGAAATAAATTATCATTTGGAAAAAAAATCATTAATATCTATCACAATTCAAAATGAATATATCTTTCGATCCACTAATTTTCTCACTCAAGTGTACAAAGACAGATACGCTAAGATGGAAGGAAGCATTGCTTGTAATGGCAAAAACAAAGAGAAAAAAAGGAAAACAAAACAAATACATCAACAAGAGATGAAGTTAAATAAATTCTATTATGTGCTTCCATATACAGTTATACAGCCACTTTAAAGAATAAGGAAAATCTATATGTTTTACATAGAAAGATATGTAAGATATAGTGTTAATCCAAACAGCAAACTGCAGAATGGTATGTACAGCAAGAATTTCACTTATGTTTTTCTAAAAAGGACATGTATTTTATCTATGCACTTTGATGCATATGTACATACAGAGACACACACAAACAGAAAATATATGGAAGGACACGCGGAACAATTTAGAGTGGTGACCTCTAGGAAAAAAGATTAAACGGGGTTTGGGGGCAGGGTGTTATCGAAGAGAGGAGGAAAACTTTACTTTCCATTTTTACCTTCTGTACAATTTCAATTTTTTTAATGAGCACGTTCTACTTATATAATAAACTTAATAGGTCACGAATGAAAAAATAGAGAAACTTACAAAGAATGCCACTTTTCTAAAAATTTTCACTGCTGTTTCTAATTTATAAGTTAAAATATCTAAAAAGATATTTTAAAATCTCAGAAGAGTTCTTAACAGTGTTTAAAATCCTCGCTCTGCCTTTCAAATCGGTCTCCTACCCCATCCCATGTGTGGCATGCTGGGAGGCTTAGCTAATGACTTACACGACAGTGACTAAACTGCTACGTCCTGTACCATTCCAACCTCAGAATGTCTCCTTGCTCAGTAGTCTCCTCCTCTAAGATTGACTAGTCTTCTGTGTCTTATCTCACCTCATCAAGAACCTTCCGTCACTTACGCTTCTCACCTTTTGTCCTTCCCTCTTCACTGAGCCTATTCCCTCAAGTTTAGAAACATTTCCAAGTCTTCTTGTCTTGAGAAAAGCTTTTCTAACCTCTATCATCTCTCCCGAGCTACTGTCCCATTTCTCTTTCT